CATTTATATTCAGATTTTAGATAAAAGTAGGAACGGACCTGTAAGTAAATTTGACATAACGTCTATTTTTATGTTATCTCTGAGGCAAGGAAAACTATATTATGATTTTACATACTATAAAATACATATTTATATTCACATTTCAGGTAAAAATAAGAATGAACATTTAAGTAAATTTGTCATAACATCTTTTTTTTAATGTTCTCTCTGATGCAAAGAACATAGCCAAACATTCTTTTTTGTTTGTTTTCAACAAGAATAATATAGTTTGCTCTAGAGCCACATATGAGAGAACATGGATTGTGAATTCAGATTTAAGCTGTCCCCAATACCATGTTCACCACCAGGCACCAACATTGTTTTTATTTAAATTTGCCTAATTGTTAGAGATGATGAACATTTTTTGAGATATTTCTTAGCTACTATTATTTCTTCTTTTGAGACCTCTCTGTTTAGATACCTGGCTCATTCTTTGAATTGGCTGTTTGGTTTTTTTTTTTTTTTCAACTTTTTTTTTTTAGATCTTTATATATTCTGGATATTATTCCTCTGACAGACTTATAACTTGCAAAGATTTCCTGCTCTGAAGATTCCCAATTCACTCAGTTGATCTTTGTTTAGCTTTGCAGAAGTTTTTTAATTGCTTGGTTTTTGTTGTTGTTGTTGTTGTTGTTGTTGTTGTTGTTGTTGTTGTTTGAGACAGACTCTCGCTGTGTGTCTCTGGCTGTCCGGGACCTCACTTTGTAGACCAGGCTGGCCTTGAACTCACAGAGATACGCCTGCCTCCCCCTCCCCGAGTGTTGAAATTAAAGGCATTCACAAACACCACCCAGCAAGCTTTTTAATTTTGTGAGGTTCCACTTGTCAGTTGTTGGCCTCCATTTCAAATTCCAGGACAAATAGAATCCTATTCAGAACATCTTTTTCATCCTTTTCACTCACTCCCACCTGGCAGAGATCTCTCTCTCTCTCTCTCTCTCTCTCTCTCTCTCTCTCTCTCTCTGTATGTATGTATGTATAAATGACATCAACAAATCAGATAATCCACTTTTAAAATGGGGTACAGATCTAAGCAGAAAACTCTCAAGAAAGAAAACTCAAATGACTGAGAAAAACTTAAAGAAATGTTCAACATCTTTAGCTATCAGGGAAATGCAAATAAAACTACTTTAAGATTCCATCTTACACCTGTCAGAATGCCTAAGAGCAATAGCACAAGTGACAGCTCATGCTGATAAGGATATGGAGCAAGGAGGACATTTCTCCATTGCTGGCGGGAATGCAAACTTGTGCAACTACTATGGAAGTCAATGTGGTGGTTCCTCAAAAAAAATCAGAATAGATCTACCTCAAGACCCAGCTATACCACTCTTGAGCATATACCCAAAGGACACTCCACCCTACCAGAAAGCAATTTGATCAATTATACTCATAGCAGTTTTGTTTATAATAGTCAGAAACTAGAAACAACCTAGATGTCCTTCAACTAAAGAATAGATAAAGAAAATGTGGTACATTTACACAATGAAGTGAAAAAATAACATTATAAAATTTGCAGACAAATGGATGGAACTAGAAAAAATCAATTTGGGTAAGGTAACCCAGACACAGAAAAAAAAAGCATGATATGAACTCACTTTTAAGTAAATATTAGCTGTTAAGTAAATTATAGTCATGTTACAATCCACAGACCCAGAAAGGGCAAATAACAATGAAGGATCTAAGTGGAGCACATGGATCTTCCTGGGAAGGAAAAATGGAGTAGATTTTGCAGGAGTACTGGGGATGGGTGGGGATGGGAACAGGAGGGATGGGTGGTGGGAGAGAGTACTAGGAGAGGCAAGTGGAATTGGAGGACATTTGGGGGTGATATGGAAACCTAGTGCAGTAGAAACTCCCAGGAACATATAAGAGCGATTCTACTGAGGACTTCTGGTAATGGGGACTATGGAGAACTAACCAGCCATCTTATGTAACCAGGTAATTCCCAGTGGTGAAACTGGAACACCAACCTAGCCACAAAAATTAGACCTACAATCTATCCTGTCTGCAAGATGTGCTGAGACAATGGACTTAGAGAACTTGTGGGAAGGACCAACCAATGACTTGTCTAATTTGAGGCCCATGCCACAAGAGGGAGCCCGTACCTGATACTGCCTAGATGATTCCGGTTAGCCTAAAGACCTAGATAGAAAACAAAACTGTCTTAGTTAGGGTTTCTATTGTTATGAAGAGGCACCGTGACCACAGCAACTCTTATAAAGAAAAACATTTAATTGGGATGACTTGCCTGCAGTTTCAGGGGTTCAATCCATGATCATTATTGTGTACATGGCGATGTGCAGGCACACATGGTGCTGGAAAAGTAGCTGAGAGTCATACATTTTGTAGGCAACAGGAAATGGACTATGATACTGAGTGGTATCTTGAGCATAGGAGACCTCAAAGCCTACCTTCATAGTGACACACTTCCTCCAACAAGGCTATACCTACTCCAACAAAGCCATACCTCCCCATAGTGCCACTCCCTTTGGAGGGCATTTTCTTTCAAACCAACAAACAAAACAATAAAATGCTTCCTACTAATATTCTGCTATACTCATAGATGGGTGACTAGCCCAATTATCATCAGAGAGACTTTTTTAAAGTTATTTTCTTTTCTACAACTATTCATTGGCCTCTTACCACTACTTGGATTGCAATAAAAATTAAAATAAAAAGTTTAACTTTTAGTCATTTTTTTTACCATAATGGTAACAAAATTAATTCTTCTAAACATTTCTAAAAGACACAAGAGTGGTATGACCTAGCAACTTTTGACTGTGGAGAATGTTTGTTTGCTTGTTTTATTTTTACTTCATTCCAGTGGAACAATTTGGAGAGCTATTGTAAATTAATTTACATGATGATGTCTGGCAAAATTTTACTTGGTAATTGTCAAACTGGCTATGGAAGAGGAAGGAAATGAAGGGGGCAAATATTCCTCATATAACCAGAAGGAGGCCAAGGCTCAACACACCTAAGAATCACTTCAGCTAAGTCTTCTTGATGTAAATTTTTAACATCACTTACAGTTGATTTTGTAATTGTGTAGGAATGGGTATGAGATCCAGTTGGGAGGGTTGTTTGACTCTCATGCATGCATGAAGTACTGGGTTTGATCTCCAGCACCTCAAACTGGGCACAGTGGTAAATATCTATAATTTACATACTTGGGAGATGGATCAAAAAGATCAGAAATCCAAGGTGATTCTCAGCTACATAGAAATTTAAAGGTCAAACTGAGCTATATGGGACCCTGTCTCAAAGGAAAATTATAAAAGATCATTTCAAACTCGAAGAAAATATGACTGTCACGATCACACATTATTCATACTCATCACACGGTATAGGAATATATATATGAATAGAGGCTGTAGAAAGACTACAAAGGATTAAAGAGACTGCATCAGAGTTAAGAGGCTCCAAAGAGACCCGAGGGGCAGGTGAGAGAAGTGACAACATCTCTGTGTAAGGGTCAGATCAGTGGCCTTGTTTCTGGGGGACATTGCTGTAGGAACAAGGTGCAGACTCAGAGTTGATTAGAGCCTTAAAGTTGATTCAAACTCTAAAAGCAAGTTGTGGAGCCGGGTATTGGTGGCTCACGCCTTTAATTCCAGAACTCAGGAGGCAGAGACAGGTGGATGTCTGTGAGTTTGAGGCCAGACTGATCTCCAGAGCGAGTTCCAGGCCAGGCTCCAAAGCAATGCGGAGAAACCTTGTCTCCAAACAAACAAACAAAAAAGCAAGCTGTGTACTACATGAACCAGGTCATCTCCCACACCTCAAAAAAAATCACTACTTTACATTAATTTAGTGAGTTTAACTTCCCTGTCAGGATTGCTGTACAAGAGAGAGAAAAGTTCTACACCTCTGCAGAGCAGTGTTTTATTCAGAAAGTAACCAGTACATTGACCTATAGCCTTATTGCTTCATATTCTGGTTGCCTAGAATTATCTCACTTCTGTAAGTCTAATTTTCTCAAGCCACACTTGACTCCTGTTGTGAAACTTTTCCTGTTGTGAAATGTGAAGAAACATGTGTTCACCCTAGACAATGCATGAATGCCAAGGTAGAGAAATGGTTCCACTCTCCCTAGCTAAGTGAACTGGTGAGCTTATTGGGGGTTATTTACAGGAATGAGGACAGAAGCTATTTACAGGAGCACTTGGGGTTTAAAGGCAGCTGTATCACCAAAGTCAGGACTCACAAAAACTGCATCTCTGGAGCTCCCTGCTTGACTTGCAAACTGTGCAGCTAGGCTGGCCAGAGGCACTTGGGGGGGGGGCAGTCTCCTGTGCAATTCAGCAACCATCCAACTTAAGGCCAAAGAGATTAGGGAGGGAAAGGGACATGTTTGATTTCCCATGGAGAAGCATCAGTGGAAGAGAGAATTTTGACTGGTACTCTGAGAAAGCTACTTCTTCCTAGGTCTCAAATCATCTCTACAAAAGGAAAGCTGAAGAGGTTGAACTGTATGCTGCAAAGTTCCTATCGACAAACCTCAAGTGATAATATTGGTATCAACTCTTCCAGACAGGAACAGTGTCTGCATTGCGTCTACATTGGACATTATGCTGCCTAAAAAAATCAAAGCAAAACAAAATTTCAAAAACTTTCATTGGAACAAGAAGGTATATCAATATGCATAGTGCCTTTATATTTTTGTTTCACCAACCATATATTGGGTGACTAAAGAATGTTTAGGAAAGATACATATTGAATTCAGAATCACATAGAGTGTTATTCAATTATATTGTTTTAAATACTGCGATGAAAGGAAAAATATGGGGTGGTATAGCGATGTGTAAGTAAAGCCCTTATACCTGACTTGAAGTGAAATGGACAGTAAAGCCTCTGTGTCTGGCTTTGATAGAAATGTTTCATCAAAGCTTTTGCTATGTTTGGGTTGATTAGTAGAAGTAGAGAAATTGTTTTAAGACTGTTTCGGCTTCGAAGAAATGTTGTTTTTCTGGAGAGTCTGCACTTGGTGCTATGTGACATGTAGCAACTGCACTGACCTTGGTCCTAAGACACTCCTGGAAGCCCTGGAGCTCTTCCTTTTGATTGTGGCTGAGATTTATGTGGGTTGTCTGCTTTTGTGGGCAGCAAGAACAAAATGACTTTGATAGTTGGAACCTTTCCAGCCCCAATTATATATGTTTGGTGCTTGTATATGATTGAATAAAGTAATTGGAGTGAGCTCTCTGGGTGTCAGTCTTTTCCAAGACGGCTGTACCACTCTCCTTCTTCAGAAAATGAAGGCTTAGTAGCATCTTGGTGAGCTCCTCTCTCTACTGCAGCACCTACAACCCAACACCAAACAATAGGGTGGCGAGGGTATACAATGGGAAATCTTGCCTGATTTGGAGTGTCAGGAAAAGTTTCCCTAAGGAAACATTGGCTGAAAGGTAGAAGATGTATAGGAGTGACATAAGTAAATTAATGGGGAAATAATCCACACGGTAAAAGGTTATAAGGCAACCCTCCATCTTGCCTGGTAACTTGACAAAATTTGTACTGAAATTAAGTCAGTGTGATTTGAGTGATCAAGAGATAAGGCTAAGAAGGCAGGGACAATGTGAGTAGATGCTGCAGGATCTTGCTCGGTCTGAAGTTTTAGTTCACTATTTACTATCTTGCTTTGGATCTAATTATTTTATCCCCCAAACTGCCCAGTTTTTCCTCATAGTATGGCCTCAATAAGATTACTGATGAATGGTGGATATCCAGTATATCTCTGTGAGAAAAAGAAAGCTCTTACTGGATAAGTGATAAAACAAAAAATAATAAGTTAAAGAAAAGGATCAAGAGAAGTAATAGTTGGTAGATAAAATTGTGTAGAAGTCCCTGATGAAAGCAAGATTTTACTGGTGACAACTGCAATATGCAAAGAGTGTGTGTCACCGTAATTGACATCTATACCATGAGCAGTAGCTATTGGGCAGACAGAGGTAGATTTTTTTCAATTGTTTCTGTCATTTCAGTGACACTAATTACACATTTTTGCACCCAAGTCCTTGTTAGGATACCTTAGAGACTGAAAAAAATTCAGATTTAGCATGATAATCACTGATTTACAATTTTTATTACTGATTTATTATCTTTCAGTGCTTAGTTTTAAATGCATATTACAACTCACATACCCAAGATATTTACAAAAAGATCATTCTGATTTTTTTCAACAGCACATCTGGAATACATAAGAATTCTAAAATAAGTTTGCAAGTTATAACTTCAAGGTTAAAAAAGGAATTTTAAAAAAGAGAGAGAGAAATCTAATCTTTCAAATGGCTCCACAATGGCTGCAAGCCCCAGCACCGTGGAGAGGCGTCTTTCTCTTGCAATTTGTGGCAAGACTTCAGATGAGGCTTCTGGGCAAGACTTAAGGTGAGGCTTCTGTACTGAGCCTTGTCTGATAGGCTCATTTAGATTATAGGCCCCTCCCTGGGTGTGAAAAGTGCTTCCGGGATCGGCCTGAGGTCAAATGCCATCTGAAGGTACACCAAAACAAGAAGGCAGTGGCTGGCAACCTGGAAGTATGCCATGAATGCTCTACCTATGTAACACCTGGATCCCAAGTCCTCATACTCAGGCATGTGAAAGTTATCCGGGGACCAGCTGTAGTGTTACAGCAGCTCAGATGGAAAGATAGCCTGGCAGTCAGGAGCCAAGGAATACCACAAGGTCACATAGCACAAAAGATTCATCAGGAGGGAAATCATCAGTAGAGACGCTGCTTCTGCTCGGGCGAAAAACAGAAGAAAACTGAGCAGAAGCCAGGGCCTATATAGAGTCTTTTGGAGAGCGAGGGTGGAACTTTCCAGAGGGTGACTTTCCAGGGTGGAGATTGGTGGGATTTCTAGTCCAGAGATTAGACTTTTTACTCTGTAGGGTGGGGGCAGGCTCCAGCCATTAGGGCATGTACAGTGTTCTGTGGGTGGAACCTGGCAGTTGGAGGTGCTCAGGGGAACCCCCTGGCCACTTGTAAGCTTGAGGGGCTTACACCATTGGCCAGGATTAAGGCAAATAACAGCAGAGCCTCATCCCCAGATGCCAGGTCCAACTATGGTCTAGTAACGAGCTCAAGAGGACAGATCCCTTGCCTCCATTTGTTTCAGAGTTTTTACCACCTCAAGTTCCCCTTCAGAAATTAGTTCAACCAGTACTTCCGTGGCAGAGTCCCCCCTTCCCCCTCCCACTCATCCCACAGGAATCAAAATATCTAATCTGATGACATCTGCTTTAGGGGAAAGGAAAGCTGGCTGGATCGTCTGCGCTGTAAAAATCCAGGCAGACCCATTAGGGTCTGGGGACTTCTGAGTCATTTGCTGGGCTTTCTTCATGAACCCTTGATGCTGGGAAGGATTTCAAAAGTAGAGGAATCCTCAGAGGAGGGAGAGATGAGAAAATGAAATCCAGAAGACAGGATGAAACACACATGCCGTGAGAATCCTGAAACATAAAGAATAGGCCTGTTTGGGGCTGGCTAGAAGGCTTAGTGGGCAAAGGAGGTTGCCACCAAGCCTGACCTCCTGACTTGAGATTCCTGTCACGTAAGGAAAGAACTGATTGCTGAATTTGCCTGTGCCCGTGCCCAGGCATATCTCCCCACCCCACAAAATAAATATAATTTTTAAAAATAAAAAAAGAAAGAAATAGGCCATAAGTTCCCACAGGACTATCTCCTTAGAGACAGCACAGTTCTTACTCACAACTCATTGCCAGCTATCCTTGGGCTTGCTCCAGTTCTCTTTCTGTGGTACAGAGCACCTCTCTCTGTTTCTATTCCTTATTCACTACACTGAATATGTAACCTAGAAATGGTCTGGCTTTGTTGCGTGTAGAATTCCCTGGCTCTCACTTACCCAGGTTTCAGACTACCTGAAGTTCCTGTCTTGGAAAAAATCTATCTCATCTTGGTTAATTGGAGAACTGGTAGTTTTTCTAACACCCACCCCTCCATCTTGTTTTATCTAAATATATCAGAAAGGAACTCTAATGAGTCAGATTAACTAGTGAGTTTCCAGCTAAAACCAGTAGGCTACATATGAAGATCTTTGAGGTAGACAATGTGCTAAGAGCTCTTGTGACTCTTAAAGGGTAGAGCCAGAAAAGTCACAGTGACGTCCATGTGCCAAGTTTTCTTGGGGACTGAACCTCTCAGATACCCTTGAGTCAATTTAGCAGGCAAGGCATAGATGTTCTGATTCTGGTAACCCTTCTATCTCCTTGCCTCAGTTCTCAGAGATTCAAAAATAGAAAAGTGTTGCATATTAAATTTTTTATAAGCCAGAAACTTTGAGTACCACAATATGAGCCTCCCTCTGGAGAGGAGAGGTAGAAGTTTGTCGTCTGTCTTATGTGAGAGATGTAGCAAGATAGTTGATATGTCCATTATTCATATCCAGGAAGTGACATCAAGTGGGTAATTTGAGCTAATATGAATATTTAACTTACTAAGTCCTGGATCATGTTTAAAGTGAGTTCAAGCATCCAAATATGAAGAGAACTTTAAATCCAAGTATGGTGAAGAAAGCCTGTTAACCCAGCACTCCAGATCAGCCTGGAATGGGGTGAAGCCATGTTTCAAATACACACACACACACACACACACACACACACACACACACACACAGAACACAAAAAAATAACCTTTGATAAAAAATATAAATGGAAAAGATGCCTATGGGATTGACATTGCATAGGCAAGATGGCTGAACATTACTTATTCACACTGTTCCCTCTTGATACTACATAAATAGGACCTCAGGCACTGCCAGAGGTGAAGCACTCATTGGTAATTACATTATCCCTAGAAGACAAGAATGTGAGAGTGTTGCATGTGAGCTGGATTATATTTTTCTTACAACATTGCTGTGACATTTCTATCTCCTTGGTTAGCTTACAGTCACCGCAATGCAGTCCATACTATGACAAGTTATTCTGTGAATAATGGTTTCTTGCCCATCATTCTTATTTGTGGAAATAGATGAAGCATTACAAAAGTTTTGGGTACTCTCTCCCCTTCTCTGTAGTTGGCAGCTCTGATCCTAATTTAGTTGTGTCAAAGTGTCTAGGAATCATGTGGTCTGGCAAAGTGTGTATCCTCCACACTCTATCTTAACTGAAAGTCCCTGAAGCAATAAAGTGTGTGTTCCCATTCAAAGTCATTTCTGGCTTCCCTCTGTCCTCATTTCACAAACCTGAGACACTGAGTGCTGTTATTAGAGACTTCTTCACATCTTGTGACCAAGGTGTTTTTTTTTTATTTTTTTATCAATAGGGTCTTCCCTTAAATCCTGGTGGACAAATGAGAGCAATGGCTTTAGGCTGTAATGTTCTGGCTGCTGTTATTAGTCCTTAACTAACAACTCATAAGGGAGTAGCTTACTCCTGAACTGGGGATTTTGTTTTACTATCCATGGCTTCTGGAAGGAGTATTATCCAGCCCTAGTAATAATTAACTTTGAGGATGTTAGGATGAAACCTAGTATTTCACAAGTTCATTAGAAATAAATCTGAAAATAGTTTGAAACATACATTCCTGAAGATTTCATGGAATATCATAAAAAACTAGCTCACCCTAATAGGCAGAACTCAGGATTGAGTCTTGTCACTGGTACTTTGAGAAGGGGGAATGAAGGGACCAGACCCCTGTGTCCTCTGTTTTAGCAGCCATGACAGGCTAACATGTGCTCGCCTGAATTTGCCCCTCCTGTCCTGGTCACTAAGAGGTCATATATGCACACTTGGCATGTTGACAACTCTTATTTCCCATCTCTTTACCACCCATGGTTACCATCACCCAAATGTCTTCCATGCATTTCTGTCCATTAATTTTGTTCTGTGAGAATTCTTCCCAACCCTGAGCTTTCATCTGCCTAGTCCTCTAGTCTTTCTCCCTGCCTAAACTTTTCTGGCCACAATATTCCTCTACATTTTTACCTGTATTCTACTATCTAATTCCCTAGTACTAACCAATTTCCTTCTCAGTTTCTTAGCTTTCACACCACAGTGAAGAGCTAAAGCTAGCATTCTCATTGGAACTTGTAGCATTCATCCTCTAGGGACTGGGTTAGTTACCTCACTTAAAATACTCTTCCCAGTTCTTTTTATAGCCCTGAAATGTTCATAATTTAGTTTCTCTTTACAGCTGAGGAATATGCCAGTGGGTATATGGATGACATCCTCATTATTCTTTTACCAGCATTTAACCTTTGTCTATTAGTATTGTGAATAAGGCAATAATGGCAGCGATTATCCCTGACATAAGATATAGAATCATTTGAGTATATGCCTAGGAGTAGCTGGATCCTTTGAGCTAGTTTTTTTGATAAATCTCACCAATTTCCAAAGTGGTTATACTAGTGTTCAGCCCCACCAACAGTGTATAAGTTCTCCCTTTCCCATGTCCACACCAGTATTTCTTGTTATTAGTACTCCTGATAACCATTTTGACTGGGGTGAGATGGAATCTTAAAGTTGTTTCAATAGCATTTTTTTTTTATTTTTAACATTTTAAAATATATTTCCTAGCCATATGTATTTCTTCTTTTAAGGATGTTCTGTTTGGTTCTATAACCTCCATTTTTAATTGGGTCATTAATTTTCTTGGTGTTTAGAGCTTTTGTTCTGGACACTAATCCTCTATCAGATGTGTAACTGGTAAAATTTTCCTCCCATTCTGTAGGTTTTCTCTTCATTTGACTGACAGTTCCCTTTGCTGCTAATCCCCCAATTTTATGTAGTACAGTCAGAATTTATTCTCAAGGAACTGCTCTTGAGATCGTCTGAAGTTGAGAATGTCACATCTCTAGGTGATTAGACGACAGGGATGGTAAACTCCATTTTGAGTGGATAGCAGAACCACCCATCCATCAGAATACCCGTTTCACTCCTGGCTTCTCACTACATTGTAAGCTTCATGAAAGAAGGCAGTGTTTCCCACGGAGTACAAAGCCTGGAATTCAGCAAGTTTATCAGTTGTGATGCCTACTCTCAGCTCTCAAGTTGCTTTGATCTAGAATCCTCTGTGGGAGGTGCCTCTAGGCAACACTTTGAGGTTCTAATCACTAAATTAATTGAAGTGGAAGAGCCACACTTTGCAGGTTGCAACATTCATGAGGTGAATGTGAGCTGAGCACAAACATTTATTGTTCTCTGCTTCCTGATGATAGGTACACCTTGACCAAAGTTACTGTGACCAGGACTTCGTTATGAGAAAAACGAACTTGAACCCAAATAAAACCTTTTCGATGCATTTTGTTTGTCATGACAGGGTTTCTTTGTGTATCCCTGGCTGTCCTGGAACTCACTCTGTAGATAAGGCTGGTCTGGAACTCAGAAATCTGCCTGCCTCTACCTCCTGAGTACTAGGATTGAACGCATACATGGCCACCTTCGGCAAGCCTTTTGTTCTTTAAATTGCTTTTGTCAAAGTATTTTATTACAGGCACAGGAAAAGGAACTAAGATGCTATAAGGGAGGGCACAGTGAAACCATGGCTATCATAGTGCTATGTGGCTATCTCTAAGGTGGAGAGGAAATAGAAGGAGGTATTTAGGGGAGTCCAAAACTGCCACGGCTGCCTCTCTGGGGCTGAAAGAAGCAGAGCCAGGGGGAAAAAAAGCCTTGCTGGTTTTTAAAGGAGAACTGGTTGATGCAGGGAGAGGAAACAGAAAGTTGGAATTGGAACTGGTGGTGATGGTAGGGACTGGGAAGGGCAGTGGGCACTGCCTGGGCCGGCAGGGAGTGAGAAGCGATGGAGTGGGCTGCATTACAGGTACCTGTTAAGAGGAATACAGGCGCCTGGAGGTCAGTGTGGGGCTCTGATATGGAGCCAGATGCCCCATTTGCTGGAGGTGGGAAGAGAGGAGGGAAGGGGCTCTTGGGGCAGATCAACCTGTTCTGCAGGTTTCTGCATCCTGTGAGTTTTTGGCTATCTGCCAGCAATCCTTCTATGTATTGTTGTTTAAAAGAATTAACGGCACAGACATCTTCCCATACTTACTATGGCAACTTTTGAAAATAGGATAAGCTCTCTCTTTAGCTCTTTTTTATTTCTACAAGGAAACTAATAGTGTTTTGTTTTTAACTTTGGATTGTCATTCACATTACCTCACAGGATTTTTTTTTCTTATACTAAATCTTGGGTCTGTTCATTTATTTGTTTGAAAGAACAAATTTATTCTGGACTCATAACGCAAACATAACTCCAAAGCTTCATTCAGCAACTGAGATTCACATGTGAATACTGAAGAAGATGGAGGGCAGACTGGTAAGAAAAACAACAAATCCAGTAACTTGGAAGGAAATGCAAACAACTGCACCTCCATGTTCTTCTTTCTGGTCCTTTCCTTTTACTCATCTTTAAGGGGTAAACATTATCCCTAGCATAGGAATGGACTTTGGG